TGCTGAGAGGACACCACACAGAAACACTGCTTCTGTGGGAGGCAGGGAGACCTTGCCTTGGCTGGCTGATCCCCAGCTAAGCCCCTCTGAAAAGCTCTTCCCTAACACGGGAAGGGCCAAAAAAGAAAAAATACTGAAGAGTTAATGGCTTCCAGAACAACACAGAGACACCAATGGCCACATAGAAAGATATTTCCAGACAACAGTTTTCTGGCCTAAGTGCCTGGGGCATAGACTCGTGGTCCACGTGGGCAGTTTCCCCTCTGTGGCATGCTCTGGAGGCAGCTTTCCTCCCCTCCTCACCCTGTGACGTTGGTGGAAAAGCTCTGACAACAGGCAGGACTGACTAGGTATAAAAGCATCATGACCCTCACACAGCCCTGTTTAACAGTCTGTGCCATGGCCCATTGGGGCCACAAATGGCACCAAGTGAGAACTCTGGGGGAAAATACCTCCTGGGAGGGTTTACGGGGCAAGTGAAAGCTGCCAGCCACCCTGTCTTCCTTTGTGGAGATAACTAATGAATAATAACTTGTATTACCACACCAACAGGAGGCTTCACCACATGCTTGCCCATGTTGTTCTTCACACTAGGCTGTTCAGCTGCTTGAGGGAGGAGAGAGGTTCTCTGGCAATCAGGATGCACTACAGATTTTGGTACCTCTGGATATCTTCAGACCTGGTCTCTGGGATGACCTAGCCCATCAAGGAAAGGGTGAGCCACATGTTCTTCTGGCAAAGGCCCAGGCTCTCCATGGGCCCAGCTAGGGCAGCCCTTAGCCAGCAGGGAGACGGGCTCCCGCCTGAGCATCCCGGGTACGGGAGACCCGCGGTGCGGTGGAACCTGGGCTCTTCCCAGGAGCTGGGCGGTGGCAGCGGCCTCCAGAGGGAGCTGTGCCAGGCAGAAGAGGACTAGCAAGAGACTGCTGGCTCCCTCAGACGACCTGCGGGCAGGCTTTGCTCCCTCGTGGACTTCTTTTTTTTTCGAGTGTACCTTCCCCTCCTTAGTTACTCAGTCAGAAGCAATCAGAGGAAACCGAGTGTAAAGGGAAACGCCGGCTTTTGCAAAGGTCCACAGATGATGAAATAAATAAAACAAAACAGAAAACAAACAAAGGAAATAGTTTTTCCTCTACGCTTTTAGTTATTGTAGAAGCTACTTGTAACACTGGTTAAGTAAAAGCTATTAAGTCACAGGAGTAATTTTACACTAGAGAGTACCTCATTCTATGCTAACCATGCAAATACAGCTGAATTTTTATCTGCTACGTGACACACTGCATGTCAAGTACACGAACACTGAAAAACTGCCAGAGATGAAGCGTAAGGGAGATGAATGCTTCAGGCACTGGACTTGCTCTAGGGTCAATTCCTCCCAATCTGAGCCCTTGTGAGTATCTCCACATGGTTTGCTCAAATACTGACTGTCGTGTTGATGGTCTGAGCAGCATCCAGCTTGTGCGTTGCTCTTGTGGCGTGCAGAGTGTTCTTCTAATGGGTGGCATTAGAGACAGAAAATGAGTACTTGGGAGTTACATAACTGCTTGCTCATTGGCCTCTTTCCCCCCCTTTTCTCTCCCACCAGAGATTTATCTTTTTAGCACCAATATTTTCCTGAAGTTAAAATATGTATAAAATGTATGAGTTCCTGAGCAAACAAGCCTGTCAGGTGCCTAAAGGCCACGTAGAATGAATGCAAGGTGAGAAAAAGGAGAAGGGAATGTTACTAGTAAGTGATATTTCATGCTTAACAAAACCAAGGGAGTAATTTGATACAGTAGAAGGCTGGGTTTCCCTTGAGACCTGCATTTAGAATAGCTTAAATTCTACAATATTTGCATAAGCTTAACTTTGCCCATTGACAAAACGTCTCCGGGTAACCTGTTCCACTGTCTCACTTCCCTCACACTACAAAATTTCTTCCTTATGTCTAACCTAAATCTCCCCTCTCCCAGTTTAAAGCCATTACCTGTTGTCAGATTGCTACGTGCCCTTGTAAAAAGTCCCTCATGCCCTAAGAAGCAGGCAATGGGCACTGCCTGACTGCAGCTCTGGGAGCCGGCCTGGAGCAGCCCGTCGTGCTGCCACATGGCAGCAGGCACTGACCTCTTCCCTCTGGTCACCAACGACAGGACCTGAGGGAACAGCAGGAAGCCGTGCAGGGGAAGGTTTAGGTTGGACATCAGGGGGATTCTTCACCCAGAGTGTGGTGAAGCACTGGAATAGGCTCCCCAGGGAAATGGCACCGGGCCTGAGGATATTCAAGAAGCCTGTGCACGGTGCCCCCACAGACATGATGTGACCTTTGGGGTTGTCCTGCCCTGGGGCAGGAGCCGGACTTAGTGATCCCGGATGTCTGAGGAGGCGGCTGAGCCACCACCCCTGCAGACATCTAAAAAGGCAGACGCGGTGCCACGGGACAGGGTTTAGCGGTGGCCGTGGCAGAGGGTTGGACTCGACGATCCAGAAGGTCTTTTCCAACCGGGGTAACACTGTGGCCTCACTGCCGAGCGGTGCTGGGGCTGCTCGGGCGGTGGGTGCCCCGCGCGGGGCCTTCCTGCGCCCGCGGCCCGGGGAAGGTGCGGGGCGGCCGGGCCGAGGGCCGGGCTCCCGGGACTGCCGGGCTCTTGGG